GATGGAAAGAAACAACTACAGGGCAAAAAGAGAATAAGCAGGGCCCAGAGCTCCCTGCCCCACAGGGCAGATGGGAAGTTAAAAACAGCAGAGTGCCTGAGGGGACCTCCAGGAGCTCTCTTGGTATTAGGTGTGGTCAAAACGGGTACATTTGTCTGAAGGCGCCAGGATGTAGGCTCCATTATGGGCCCGGGTTCTGCTCACCAGGATGCGCTGGTGTCCTCAAGGAGGCAGACAGGCGAGGCCTTGCAGGTCCTTCTCAGATGTCAGCATGCCAGGGCCACCTTCTACAGAGAGAGGCCAAGTGACAGCCCCAGTGTCGCCGTGATGCTGCTGAGGCCGAGTGAAGTCAGGAACCTAGAAGTCAGGATCGCGTCTGACCCAGGCCCGAGACAGAATACTAGCCGGTGCGCCAGGCTGGCATCCGGAGGTCTCACGCCACCCACATATCTGCCCCGGGTACTCGCACCTTAAGATTTCAGAGAGCGGTTGATCACGCCCCGCGACTCCTCCGGGGCCCGCGATTGGCTCCGGGGACGAGGGGCGGGGCCTGAGCGCAGAGCCAACGTATTGGCGTCACGCGCTGTAGGCGCCGCTTCCTGCTGTCAGTGGTCGCGAGGCCACAGCGTCGTTTAGGCGGTTGAGAGGCAGTAGCGGCCCGGAGCGCCCCCAACCCCGCCTCCCGCTCTCTGAGGTGAGTTGGGGGTCAGAGGTCGAGGGGGGATGGAAGGGTAAAGGGGCCGAGACTCGAACGGACGGTGGGCCTCCAGCCCTGTCTGTGGCCCCAGACCCCGGGAGCCTTGAGACTGCCCAGCTTCGGAGCCCTCAGCCCTTCCCAGCCCGCGCCCCGCTCCCCTCCCGACCCGGACCCCAGCCTAAGCCGCACTGCCATTGCTCTCCGGTCCTTCTCCCTTGGGACTCTTACCCCAGCCATTCACCACCGGTTTCCATAAAGGCAGCCTCACTCGCGAGCCCGCTTTAGACCAATTCCAACCCGATCCCGGCCACACGCCTTTGCCTCGGCTTAACACACGTCATGCTCACCCCTCAACCCCTGACTGGCCGTCCTGATGCTCCACGCAAAGGGCCCGAGGCCCACTATCTGGTTTCCCCTTTCTTATCCCACACCCCACCCCCAGCTCCCCAAGATCTGTTTATCCCAAACACTACCTCTGCCACCCCAACTTAAGACCCATCTCAAAGTAGCGTGTCCCGTTGAGCTCACACCTTTCTTCTAGGTGGTTCTGGGCCCAACTTGTCTGTCTTTCATGTGTCTTCACGTCCTCACAAAGTTGGCCCCTAATTTCCCACCTCTTCTTGTCCCTAAGTCTTTGCTAAACTACCCCCCAACTCCTACTGCTTCAGCCTTATAAAAATGAGATCTCCATGTTCTTTCACCTCTGCTGCCCTCACCTCCACTCTGCCCCGCGTCTGCAGCCATCCAAGACTGCGGCCATTTGTCCCTTGACGCAGCTCCATTTGGTCTGAAAACTTAGCACAGAGTCCCTTGCTGACCTCACCAGCTGCCCTTTAATAGCCAAATCTAGGTGTTTGCTCTGAGCCCGGCACTTAGAAGCCAAGTGGTTCGGTTGGTGTGGCCAGGACCTCCGGTGGTACATTAGTGTGGAAGGGTAGACATCCTCTCTCCTTTCCCCTACTCTGGAGTGGGGACCTTTTCCTGGTATCTGACTTTTACCTGTTCCCAGGGGTTGTGTTTCTGGCTTTCACACTAAATTACTTGTGCTGGATGCTGGAATGGCTGGTGTCATTCAAATATGTGGCAGGTGAGAGATTGCCACTCACCCATCTCACTCAGCGTGGAGCAATGGAAGTCATCACTTCCTTTTGACAGATAGCCTGGCCCGAGGAACCCCAGGGAGGTTCTGTTTGGGGTTGGCTGTGGCCACAGGATGTTGTTCACGTGTGTTGTCCAGGCACTTGTGACACACCCTCTCCCAGTGCTCCTCCCTGCTCTTGCTGACTACAAGCCAATCCGAGTGCTGAACACAGGGGACATGGTGGGTGCCGGGGCCATGCCTGTGTGAGCAGCATAGTGAGTGGGTCCTGGAGGCTGAGGCCTAGGCAGATACAGAAGCTATTGGACTGCGTCCTCTTTTTGTAGGTTTTAGATCATTGAGTTTGGCCTTGTGGGTTCTGTGACTATGGAGAGCCGAGTTGTCTCAGAGAAGCTGACCCAGAGGGACATACCTGATGTGCCCAGGTTCATGCTCAGCACTTAAGGCCTCCTGGGAGCTTTTAGGTGCACATTTACTCCAACTTCTGATGACCTGCCATTTGACAGCAATTTTAAGAGTTCCCAGAATCTTCATTTGCCATTTATAATCTCATTCCTTTGAAAACTGAATACCATTCTGCCTTCCAAATTCTCCTATTAAGGTGCAATATCTGAATGGTTTTCAGCCTTAACGACAGCTTGGTTTAATGAAGGCATTCCCCACCACTTACTTAGCGTCCCATATTCTGGGCAAAGGGGATATCTGCCTTGTGCCTTCTGTTTACTTTATTCAGTTCATTCAAGTAATTGAGGGCACCGTTGTGTGCCAAGCACCACCCTCGGTATAGAAGTGCAGTGCTCAGTGAGTCAGGCAAAGTTCCCATTTTCACTCATCCAGAGTCTAGTCCTTGTTAAAATCCTGTGCACTGGGGGCTGGCGAGTGGTGTGGTGGATGGGGCACTGGACTCCCAGTCCCACAGCTGCAGTTTGACTCTCAGACCTGGTGACTTGCTTTCTCACTTTCCCTTTCTCTCTTTCTCTCTGTGGTCAAATTAAAAAATAATACTAATAATTTTTTAAATTAAATAAATGATTTTTTAAAATCCTGTGGACTGTGGGACAGGAATATAGGGGAGAGGGTGTTACTGGATGGAAGGAGAGAGGGAGGAAAGAAAGATACCCAGTGTTCACCCATTTCACAATCCTGCCCTCACTCACCAGCTCTTGGTCTGGGAATCACAAGAAATGTCTTGCCCTCCAGCTGGTCTTTAATTGCTTTAAAGGCCTCCTAGCCCAGTCTCACCCACTCCCCCAACCCCACCTGCCGGAGGACACTTGTTTAGAAATCAGCTTTCTTCAGATGGAAGGGGGTGCTATATACTTATTCAGCACACACGTGTCTGAAAGATCAGCTGCCTTTCTGAATCAGAATATAACCTTGTCACTTTTTTTCCAGCTGGGAAAAAAAAAACAAAAAGCTCGACTCATCAATCGGTATAGCAGTTGGATGGCTTAAATACCAGGCAGCTGTTCTGAGCAGCCAGGTATGCAGTTCAGGCAGCAGAGAGAAGGCTGTGGGGAGTGGCTGAGAAGTCTCTAAAGAGACAAGTTTGCTGTTTGCTGATGGAGCAAGTGTTCTAAGAATGGTGAATCGGAGAAGGTTATCCATTTCTTCTTTAAATGTAAGTCTCATCTAAGCCATTCTTCTTGTTTCTTTCTTTCTTGGCCTCTGGAGGAAGTGAAATTGGACAGATACAGAAAGCCAGGCAGTATAACTGAAGGAAAAAATCCAAGAGAGTTCCTTCCCGACTGTATGTTGGAACATTTAAGGAAGGACAGCTCTGAAACTTTGGGAATGTGGAAAGGGACATGGGTTTAGCTGGCTGGGTTATCAGTCTGATTGGCCAGACTACTTCTTGGTTTTAGGCCTTATTTGATGAAATGGAACTTCCGAGCACCTCTGAAGATGCCGTAAGTAATAGTTGGCATGAGACTGTTTGATCTGGTGAAAACCAAAAGAACTGGAACAAGGAAACCAGAGAGTTCTGTCCCTAACCTGAGATCCTTTTCCACAGTGCCTCAGTTTCCTCCTTTATAAGCCAGGGATAGTCATCTTCCTCTAACCGTATTGTAAGAATTAAATGAAGTGAGAGAATAAGATTGGAGAAGCTTGCCTTGTTCACTTCGGAGAGCTGTGCAAGAGTGAAATAATACTTAGGGGTGGAGGCAATCATCGTGTGGTTTGGGGTTTCCTCAGTGGCAGAAGTCACCTTTCACCTGCCGAACTTTCACCAGTCCTGTCTGCAGAGTCCCTTGTTAGTGTCGCCCAAGCTCTTTCTCTCCCCTCAGTGCAGGCTTCCTTGAACCTGTGCCTCTCTTTTTGGGGCTTGGTGTTAGTGAAGAGTGTTTTGAGGACAAAAGTGAAAGCAGTCCCGTACAATGACAGCATTGGGGTCTGGGCCACCCGCTGGGGGATGGAGTGCTGACCCAGCAGTCAAGAGACCCAGGCCCCGCTCAGTTCCCACCTACGAGCTCTTACGTCATTGACCATCGGGCACCTGTTTCTATGCACATTCTGGAACAGACACAAATAGGTAAAGTGTTTTGCTTCCTATAAAGAAGCATGTCCTGAATTATGGCTGAGTCTCAAACTCTTGGTCCTGTTTTGTGAATTGTCAAGCAACTGTTCTGGATTCTTCTAGGCTGATGTCAGACATTTTGTGGCTTTTTTGACACTTTATTTTGGATGGCAGTTACTTGTTTCTTCTTATCTGGCCCTGCCCTGCCCTCCCTTAGCTTCGGTTTACTTTGGTATTTTAGCAGTTACTTTACTAGAGCACCCATTTATTGATACCCCCACATGTGAATACTATTAATCTGTTACTCTCAACTAATTAGTTAATGAGACCTTAATGGGCTCAGGCTATTCAGATTCTTGGGGGTCTAAGTCCTCAAGGTCCTGGCCTTCTAGCTGGCTGAGGGAAGGGTGGGTCTGGAGCTTGAGGGCTCTATCTAGAAGACAAGCTTGAGGGTGAGGCCTTAGGCCGCTGGATTGAATTTGAGTGCAGGATCTTGGAGCCAGAGAAGCTGGACTTGCCTTCTGGGCTGCACAAGGGTGACACTGAAGAACTCAGCCTCCAGGACTCTCTAGGAGTGACTCCAACTGCAGTACACCCTTCCCTGTCATCCTGGTGGCCAGAGTGTGGGACTGGTTACCATTGGAGGGCCCTGAGAACCCCAGGTAGTGGGTGCAGAGAATAGTGTGGGCAAGGTAGTCAGCCAGGGGTTGCAGCCGGGGCAGAGCCCTTCCTGGCTGGCTGTGGTGCCCAGACCAGAGCTGCAGGCTCCAACCTCCACCACACCCGTCCGTCCCTGAGGCTTTACTTAGGGAAGTCAGCTCTGGGTCTTGATTCCTTGGGTCCTATGTACCCTCTGCAACCCCAGAAGCCAGAGGTTGAACCCGGGCATCTTCCACCATTTCAGGCCTCCCTGCCTTCCTCCTCTCCAGACCTCACGTGCCGCCACTGACCTATAAACCTTTTCTGCCTGGCTGGCCTGATGTTCTCCTGGAGTCCCAGTTCCCTTTGCTGGTCTTAGCTCTGAAGTGAGGGTATTCATTCAGAAGGAGAGATATAAGTGAGGCAGCTTATGTAAAGAGAACAGACCCATTTAAGGGTCCCTGGTTTAACTTCTTTGGGGCACGGCTGTAAGACAGCAGAGACAGCCCTAACTGTCTTAGTGTTCCCCCTGATGCTCAGCAGGGTCTTCCCGAGCGTTGCCAGGATGTGGATGTGCTGTCCAGCCGAGCCCAGCTCAGTCCAAGTTGCTGGGGCTCAGACTGCCCCCCGGGACTCCACCCACCCACAGGAGGAAGTCAGCTGCCCTGAAGGATTTAACAAGGTTCTGACTTCAGCTTTTTTCACATACTCATTCAGGCCCTGGTGCTCCCTTTCTGTAGAAAGGGATGTCCACATCCCCTGGGATTACACACACCGTCAATGCCTGGAGCATACCAGGTCCTGGCGAGGCTCTTTACATATTCTCCCCGTGGGTCTGATGCTGCTCCCTAGCATGCCTAGCTGGTTAATGGCAAACTATGATTAAACCCTCAGTGGTCCCGTTCAGATATGTCCCTGTGCTGTTCAGGCTAGACCCTCGCAGCCTGAAGGAGAAGCAGGAGTTAGCAGGAGAGCCCTCCGCTCGTAAAGCTGCTGCAGTCGTACTCCTCATGCTGGGCTGGCTGACTTGGGACAGGAGTCGGGCTAGGTGGGACCTGAATGGGAATTGTGAGCTTTTACCTCCTGGGCCCTGCAGGTTCTTGGCCCCTTCAGCTGCAGCAGCCTCCTCGCACCCTCAGCTCTGTATCTCACTCAGCCTCCGCACAACTCTTTATCCACAGGGCCCCGGCTTCCTGTGCTGCTTCTGGTGTGGAGTAGAGAACTGTCCTAACAGTCCATGGGCCAGCCAGCCCATGGCACATGGGGCTCCTCATTGCTCAAGGAAAGAGCCCTCTGGCTTTTTCTCCTTTCTTGGTTTCTTCCTTAAAATCCACTCTCAGTGTGCACTTTTGTATCACTCAAGGACTTTCTGTTGCAGTTTGAGTAAGCTGGGCTGACCTCTGCTGTCGCCACTGAGAGGACTCCGGTCGGAGGGTGAGCCGGGAGCTTCTTCATCTGACTGCTGCCAGCTCTGCAGGTGTCATGTGATTCTCCTGGGGAGCGGCTGCATGAGTGGAAATGCTCTCAGTGGTGGAGAATGGACTGGACCCCCGGGCTGCCATCCCGGTAGGTGGGCAAGGGAGGATCAAAGGTGGGAAGTCTTCTCACTTTGAAAGAAGTGGCCAGTGATGGAAAGGGAGGCCTCAGGCTGAGAAAGAGCTATAGCAGAAATGGGCTTTGAGAAGACTGCCACCCTATGTAGATCATTTATTGGTGATAAAATGGGAATTGACCCCAAACAGTGGGGATTTGAGACAGGTTACCTAGACACCAAGCATTTCCTTTCAGACCTTCTGCCCTGATTTGGCACAGTTTGGCCAATGCATTGAGTTGCTCGCAGACAGATATACCCAGGCACTGGCTGTTGTTTCAGTAGTGGGAGTAAGTTGGCAGCGTATGTATTTCTTTGACCTTTTAACCATTTTCCAGGCCAAGTAAGCATAATTGTGTGACACCAGTTCACCAGAGACCCCTGCACCCACTCTGTTGGAGATGCCTTTGCACCCTTCTGGGGCCTGGACAATCTTGGGCACTCTGGACCAAGCCCTGCCAGTTCTGTTAGACAGGCAAGAGGTCAAGGAGCTTTGGGGTTATTTCCCCAGTGGAATCCAGAGGTGATCTTTGGGGAGAAGCCAGCATTTCCCTTTTATCCCCACTGCTTCTCCCCAATTCCAAGAATTTTCTGCAGCCCCAGGCCAGCAGGGGTCCACCTTGACATGTATTCCAGCCTGCTTTCCTACAGGGGCCTTTCTCCAGGGCTGCCGTCCTCATGCCATTCCAGGGCCCTCCTGAGCTGGAGCAGAGTCCTGGGGCAGCTCAGCAGCTCAGCCTTCTAACAAGGGCTGCATGCACTGGCTTCTTGAGGGCCTGAGTTTCTTCAGGGTATGCCTCATTCATCCCCGTGTCCCGTAGCCCAACTCCTGGTAGGTGCTCAATTGAGTGGAATGTTCATACTCTTTGTTTGGGGGGGGCGGGGTGGGGGTAGTGTGTGTGTGTGTGTGTGTGTGTGTGTGTGTGTGTGTATGTGTGTTTAGCAGTTCAGACAGGGTCTCACTGTGTTCCAGTCTTCCTGCCTCAGCCTCGTCAGTAGATGGGACTACCGGCACATGGCACTGCACCCAGCCTTTAGGATGAGTCAGGAATAGAACCTGACCCTCTCACGTGGCCTTCACACAATCCCATACAACATTGCCACATAGCTGGAGCTGTTACTTTATTTATTAGTTTAACTTTTCAATGAATATTAACATTAACTGTGTGGGCTAAAATCAAAAGAAAAAGAAAATATTTTTACATAATTTTATCACTCAACAATTAAAACTACCTTTTTCACAAATTCTTTCTTTTTTCAAACACTTAGGTAATTTTGACATAATTATGATTAAGTAGTTTTTACTCAGTATTTGCTAAAGACTTTTTGTGCATTTTGTAATGTATTCATTTAGCAAGCGTTTATTGAGTACTAGTGTCATGCGCAGCACCAAATGTTGAGGACACAAAAATGAACAAAGAACAAGTCCTTCCCTCAAGGAGCACTCCCCACAGTGCTGTAGCTCAGGAGATATTATTTCCATTTACCATATGAGGACACCGAGGCTCAGAGAGGTTAAGTGAAATGTCTCAGGTGACCCAGGTAGTCACTGACTCACTGACAGAGCTGAGACTGCATCTGAGCCTCTGGATTTCAGGCCTAGGATCTTTGTTAATTTCTTTATGCTTTTATTGTTCTAAAGCAGCACCTTTTGCCTCTTACACATGTAGCTTGTCTGTTTCTTCCATGAACTGGAGAGGAAGAGAGATAGATGGACTCCAACAGGGTCCTGATATGGTGGTCCACCTCTAGCCTGTAGCCAGCCCGGATCATGGGCAAGTATATGCCCAGCTAAGAGTTAGGCCTGAGATTAGGGACTGGCCTGTAGCTCAGTGGTTCACATTGAAGCTGGATCCCACATGGCCAACCAGCGTTCAAATCTCACCCTAAGCAGCGTGGAAAACATGCCCGATGTGTCTGCATGCATGCCCAATATTTCTTTGTTTTATTCGGCCGGAAAGGGACAGAGTCAGAGCAAGTGAGAGAGAGAAAGAGGTAAACTGATAAAGTAAGTTGCCAGTTCTAGGACTTAAACCACGACTGGCCATGTAGGAGTCCAGCACCCCTAACCATCATGCCACCTGCCGGCCCCACTTCCTTTATTCTTAAAACAATTTTTTCTTCCTTTGGAGCCACGTAGAGTATAGATTGCTGATTTGAAAATTCAGTTATGCAGTTTTCTAACCAAAGTCCATTTGGCTAACTTATGTGCTAATTAATACGAAGTGCAAACGGACGTTATGACAAGACTTTCTAAAACTGCCAGATTTGGAGTTTTGGGACATGTGATCTCTTGATAGCACTGTTGTCACTTGCAGTCCAAATAATTAACTAGGCAAACAGGAGGGAGATAAGGAGGAAAATGGATTGTAATGTGATCACATCCTTTGAGGGATTCTTGCAGTTAAAAAAGTAAAACCCACGATTCTTGCGTATGCCCTCTTGCAGTTAAAAAAGTAAAACCCACGATTATACGGCTATGTCACTGAAGAAGATAAGTTTAGGGAGAATAAGGACCCACAATGAAGGATATGCCAGACATCAGTATAGTAGTTATCTCTGGGCCCTGCGTGTATATGACTTTCTTTTTCTCCATGCTCTATCTTTGCTATAATTAAGGTATGTTGATTTTGCAGAAAAGTTTTGTTCCTATGCGGTTGTATGTGTATTTGGCAAGAAGCTAAGAGGTACATTCCAGGGGCCCTCCCTAGCATTTTCATGTTAAGGCCTGTGTTCTGTTTGTTGTTGCCCAGGTCATCAAGAAGAAGCTGGTGGCATCTGTAAAGGCACTACAGAAGCAGTATGTGTCCCTGGACACAGTAGTCACTAGCAAAGACGGAGATGCCAACACCATGTGCAGTGCCCTGGAGGCCATGTTCATCCACGGCCTGCATGCGAAGCACATCCGAGCCGAGGCTGGAGGGAAGAGGAAGAAAAGTGCTCACCAGAAGCCTCTGCCTCAGCCTGTCTTCTGGCCCCTCCTGAAGTCTGTCACCCACAAGTGAGATCAGCTGGAGAATGTTTACTCTGGGGAGGAACTGTGGCGTGTGGGATGTTGGGCGCTTCTCTTGAGCTGTGTCGGAAGCCAGCAGATACCTCATGTCCTGGTGCAGCGGGCAGGGGAGGTTGGGAGAGTATCTCACAAAAAGGCTCTCTCTAGACCAAGTTTCCCAGCCAGTGTGCAGGGAACCTTAAGAGCGTCAACCCTGAGGCAAGCCTGTGACTGCTTTGAGCCCTTGGGCTGGTCCCCTTTAGCAGGAGTAGCCTTTTCGCCATTCCTGGCAGAATGAAGTAGTTGCAACAGAGGTTGTTGTGGTTTGTACAGCCTAAAATATTTACTGTCTGGCCCAATACAGAAATTTGCTGACTCTACCTTAGAATATATGAGCATCTGTGCTCTAAATGTTATACTCATAATGAGGTATGAGGTTTTGTTAAGAGTGGAATCCAGGTAGAGCATCTGAATATTCACCTGAGACAGTCAGCTGTTTGGCCTTACCCCTGACTGCCTGGGCTTTTGAGCACATAGCTGGCACTGCACCTCTAAGGGCTATTAAGTGCTATCCTCAGCCCAAAGGTGCCTTGTCAGTCTCTAATCTTCCTTTCATGCCGATTGCCCCTGTGCTATCTTAGGTTCTTACCCTTCTGGGTGTCAGCGGCTTTCTAATTGTCCTACTTATTTCACTCTGTCTTCGCTTAGCTCAGTCAGCAAGTCCCCATTTGCTGAACTTGGCCTACCTGGAGCTCAAGCACTGAGTCCAGTAGAGTGTGATCTGCACTCCCATGTGGGAGACATGACCAGAGGACTGTGGCAGTGCATAGGAGGGGCCTCGCATCAGACCGAGGAACCCAGTTTGGTATGCCTAGGGTCTGATCTTCCCTAGAGCCCCTACAGTGCTCACAGCTGTGGTCAAGTCACTCTCTAGTGCTAAACCTGTAGCTGATAGGCTCCCAAGTGGGAGCCTGTAGTCCGGTTCACTAGATGGGGACCCCAGAATCTGTATCCTGACGAAGTTCTCCAGGGGATTCTGAATCACAGCCAGGTGCAGAAACCCCCACATTGTCTTATTAGTTTGATATTAAGGGCCCTGGCTTTGCAACCGAATCACCCACTTCCTCCAGTGCTGTCACTGAAGAGCTCCTCACTCCTGTTAGAGGTCTGCTGCTTTCCTTCCCTTTGCACCTTTTTTTATGTCTTTGTCAATCTCCTTTCATCTGTGCCTCTTGAAATTCCTCAGGGCCTATTTCAAGTACTGCTCTTGGTCGGGTTTCTGACTCCATCCCTACACACCAGTTCTCCCAAGAGCACTTGCTTCGTGTTCCCCTGAAGGCAGGACTTTACCCCATACCTTCACAGCTTCAAAGATCTTTCACGTAGGGACTCAGCGGGCACGTCATGAGATGATGATGTCAGGGGTGCAGTTATCCTTCATGACACCCACCTCAGAGAGTTGGTGGTTATAGCTTAATGCTTCTATATGCCCCCCACTTGGGTGAGAAAAAAATGAGTTTTTCTTGCCTATATGTATTTGCAGTAATTATTATTGGTTCTGACTAAGCAGTGGATAAAACAACACCTCAGTGACTGAAGTGGTTTCTTCTTTTTCTTCTTCTTCTTCTTCTCCCTCTTTTTTGTTAAGAGAAATTTTTGCTATAGAGCATGTGTACTTGTCAGAGAGACAGAGACAGAAAGTAATAAATCATTCCCAGAGGGGATGGCTATGCCACAACCCCCTCTCTATTGCCTGTTGCTGCCTGTTGGAAAAGTTCTGTTTCTTGGGACCAGCTGATAGCGTAATGATTATGTCACTGCACTCCCACATGGCTGTCTGTGGTTGGAATCCTGGACCCAGTTTCTTCAAAAATCAAACCAGGCACATGGGCATGCCTGCCCAAATCCCAGGAGGAAAATGGAGGGGAAGGTTGTGGCATGGCCATTCCCCCCGGGGGGTGATTTCTCACTTTCTCTCTGCCTCTCCAGTGAGTGCACGTGTTCTATAGTAAAAAATCTGTCTCTAAAAAAAAAAAAAGTTCCCGTTTCTTTACAGAATTAGGTCAGAAAAATCACTAAAGTCTGTGTTGTCTGTCATGTGTGGCCACTGAAGTCTCGATTTGGTTAGCCTTGTGTTCAGCTAGTAATTGGATAGAGAGTTCCCTAAATGCCTGCAGCCATCAGTTCTCCCAGGCTTCTCTCCGGGCTCTGTGTGCATGTTGGGGGTGAGTTCAGCACTCAGCCAGGAGGTTTACAGCCTTGCCTTAGCTTTCACTTCCTACTTGTGCGGAACCTCAAGAGCAACTAGAGACAAGAGTTGAGGGACTTCTTAGGTCTTCCCTGACTTTGTTCACAAACCCTACACACGGCCTTCCAGATTCCCAGGACTATGTCTTACGGTCTTTTGGTTTCCCAAGGATACATGGGAGTATTTCAAAGTTCCTGTGAACATCTCATTACTCAGCTTTTCCTGTGAATTTCATTTTTCCCCAACTATTATTATTCATTGCTTCACACAGCTTCCGTGTTAAAATGCTTGCCTGTAATTGTTCGTTCTCCAAAAACTCCCTCTGGGAAGACTTTTAGACCTAGACAGGTCTCACTGAGGTCAAATAAAGACAAGCCTTTCAAGGGAGGTGTTTCAGGGAACCAGTAGACAGGTCAAATAACTACTGTTCCCTGGGAAGGAGGCTTTGAAGGAGAACCAGCTCCCTTCTGCTCCCTCTGTGCTGTGGGCATGGGCTATTCCTCAAGGCTACCACAGAGCAGAGGAGTAAAGACTAGTCTAGGGCAAGCTAAAACAACACAGATCTCACCATTCTTACAGAGATCCAGCCATTGTTTCTTGAATAAGTACTCCTTGAATTGCTGCAAACTTTTGACTAAATTTCCAGAGTTCTGAAAATGTTACTCTGACCATTTTTGCCTTTTTGTTTTTGTTGTACATTTTTGGAGGAGTTAGTTTTCAGATGTCTTTCTTTACCATTTTCACTGATGTCACTTATAGCATTTCTTTAAATCTCTCAAGTCTCAACACCAGAGGCTAAATATTTAATCATGGGCAGTAATTAGGGAAAAGGAACAAAAAGAGAACTATAATTATCATGGAGGCTCTCCAGATGAGTAAAGTTTGAAAAGGTGTTTCTATGTTTATTCCTCTCACTATTAAGGTCAGAGTAAAAGCTATTTAAAATCCGTTTGGGGACCAGCAGAAGGTGAAATGGTTATATTGCTGGACTCCCATGTAGTCAACTACGGTTCAACTACAGACTCAACAGCTTGAAACCCAGCACTGGGTACATGGCTTAAAACTCAACACTGAGTACATGGACGTGTATGCCCAAAATGCTGAGAGGGAAATGGAAGAGAAGGGATTGCGGTGTGGTCATGCTCCCTGGAGGTGATTTCTTGCTTTCTGTTTCTCTCTCTAGTGAGCGCATGCTCCCTATAGCAAAACTCTCTCAAAACAAATAAATAAATAAAGGCCAGCAGATGGCATGCTGGACTCCTATATGGCTGACCGCAGTTCAAGTCCTGGACCTGGTGACTTGCTTTCTCATTTTCCCTCTCTCTCTTACTCTGTCCCTCTCTGGTCAAATTAAAATAAATAAATAAATAAGTAAGTAAGTAAATAAGTAAAGTTAAATAAAATAGTTCTTTTAGAAAATTAATAAATAAGTTACACTGATTGGTCAATTTAAAATAAATAAATAGATTAATTTAATAAAATAAAATTCCTTTTCTTTCTATAGGTTAAACACAGACTCTGCAGTTAGAACTGAGCTCAAATTCCAGCTTTGCCCCTCATTAGCTTGGCAACCTAGAACAGATCACATAACTGCTCTGCCTCGGTTTCCTCATTTGTAAAATGGAATAATAGCTACCATATAAGGTTATTCTACGAGTTAAATGTGAAATGCTGATTATAGAGGCCTGGTATCCCAACAGATACCAATGCTAATGATTATCTTTATAATATTGTACAAAAGTGTGTTAATAATTCTTAAGTTAATCCAAAGACAGATTTTCTTTTTTTCCTTGTTTCTCTTTTTTTGTTTGTTTGTTTGTTTGTTTGCTTGCTTACTTTAAAGAATTGAAAAGGAAAATCTATTTTGGCATTTTGGAATAGATTTTCATCAAAAAAATGAATTTATTCATTTTATTGCTATGTAAACAAAATGTTTATTCAAACATTTATTAAATACCTAGTTAATTTCAGGCATTGTGTCAGGGACAGGGATGACATCAACAGTAAGGTGTAATCCCTGCCCTCAAGGAGCTGACAGTCCCGGAGACTGACAAGTAAGCAGGTGATTATGTCAGTGTAACCAAGGCTGTGACGTGGTATAAGAACACAAATGAGAATATGTGATGGGAGGAAGTACGCTTTAGGCTGGCTCTTCCTTTTAGATTTATCCCTTTCTCCTTGGCTCCAAAGCCAAGAAAATGGTCCTATTTCTTAACTGATTAGATTAAATCATTAATTTTTACAATTTTTGAAAGATGATAAACAAGCATTTGAATTAGGGAGGACACTAGAAATAGTGGTTCCTACAGAGCAAGGACTCCTACCAGCAGTTACTTCTAGGGTGAACCTGAAAAATTCTTTGGCATATTTTTTCTTTGCTACCCAGTTTTTTTTCCTATAGCTTTTTTCTCTTTCTGTTTTCCACTTCGTCTTTCAGAGATCTGGGTAGTTTCCAAAGGAAGAATGCTTTCTGGATTGTAAGGCTAAAAATTTTTTTGTTTGTATGTGCGTGTGTATGTGCGTGTGTATGTGTGTGTGTGTGTGTGTGTGTGTGTGTGTGTGTATTTTAACCTACAAATTCTATACCCAAAAAAAATGAATATAATTTTTTCATGTAATATGATGCATATTAAAAATGAAGATGGTGTAATGGTTACATTGCTGGAGCCCCTTGTGGTCGACTGTGGTTGGAGTCCCCGACCTGGAGGCTTAAAACTTGTGCTGGACGCATGTATATGCATGCCCAAAATCCCAACAGGAGACTGGAGTTGCAGCATGGCCATTCCCCCTGGGGGGGTGATTTTGTGCTTTCTGTCTCTCTCTATCTCTCCATCTCTCTAGAAAACACCCATGCCATATAGCAAAAATCTCTTAAGAAGAGGCTGGCAGGTGGCATGGTGGTTAGGGGCATTGGACTCCCACATGGCGATTGCAGTTCAAGTCCCGGGTCTGGTGGCTTCACTTTCCCTCTCTCTTTTTCTGTCTTTCTCACTCACCCCCCATCTCTCTCTCTCTCTCTCTCTCTCTCTATATATATATATATATACATACACACACACACACACACACACATATATATATATAATCTGGTCAAGTTAAAAATAATAAATAAATAAAGTTAAATAAAAAATAATTATTAAAACTCTTGAAAAGAAAAGAAAATACAGTTAATTTAATCATTGTATTTTTCAGAATTCTCAGGTGCAGTCCTCTGACAGCTGTTGAAAATTCATATCTTTTTAAATTACCAGCATTAAAATACCTGTAAGTATTGCAGTAATCTCATAAGTCAGGAGGTGATTTCTGTGCTTCTTTATACTTTCATCAAAGATTAAGTATTTTGCATTTAGGATAAAAAAAATTGTAATTTTAATTTTAATGAGTCTTATTTTAAAAAAGTGATTGGCAAAGAAAAGGATTTAAAAAGGATATATCATGAGTGAGACAACCAACAGGGGGAGAGCACTGTGGAAGAACACATATAAACAAGGAACATGTGGACTCCTATGGAAATATAATTTATCCCCAAAAGCAAAGAGATATAAGATGTACCTTTAAAAAAAGATAGGGGCTGGCAGGTGGTATAGCAATTAAGATGCAGGATTCCCACATAGCCAAACATGGTTCAGGTCCTGAACCTAACAGCTTGAAAATCACACCAGGCACATGTGTATGTGTGCCCAAAATCTCGAGAGGAGAATGGAGAAGAAGGGATTAGAGTGTGGACATCCCCCCTAGGGGGGTGATCTCTCACTTTCCTTGTCACTGTGTTTCTCTGGCACGTGCTCTTTATAACAAATATCTTAAAAAAAGAAAGAAAGTAATGAAAAGAGGTGAATATAGTATGAAAATGAGCAATAAGATAATGGTAAAAAAAAAAAAAATTGGGGGAGATGTTTTTGCTATAGGCCACGTGCGCTCGCCAGAAAGAGACAGAGAGACAGAAAGCAAGAAATCATCCCCCCAACCCCCCATTGGGGGGATGGCCACACCACAGTCCCTTCTCCATTTTCCTCTCAGGATCTAGGGCATACACGCACAGTCGCTCAATGTGAGTTTAAGCCACTGGGTCCGGGACTCCAACCACGGTCCATGGGAGTCCAGCAACTTAGCCTTTATGCCAACTGTTGGTCCCCATAATGGTTAAAATTTTAAAATGGTATAAGTACTACTTTTCAGTGCCAAGATCATTAATTGATGATATAGATAAATGAATGTATTCAATATTAACTTTCTAAAATGATCTTCTATAGCAAACATACTTTTGGGCTAGTTTGTTTAATAGACTTGAAATATGCATTTTAACTAAAGAATTTTTATATTGGAGTTTATATGATGTTTGGGCTTTTTCCTTCAGAGACATGGGAACAACACAAGTATCACCACAGTTGAGAATATCCTCATGACGACTCTTGAATTGCAAAACCTGTAAGTTATTTTTCTCCTTAGGCTTATTTTACTTCAGTGTCTATTAAGTTTGTCTTATTATTTTTCTTAAGTTCTATTTGTTTATAGTGTAATTTTCACATAATAAAATTCTCCCTTTTTAAGTGTGCAGTTCCTTGAGTTTTGACAAATGTGAGGTCATGTAGCCACTCTACATTCCCGATACAGAACATTTCTGGCACCCGGGAAAGGCCACTCATGTCCCTTTGCAGTTAATCCCTCCTCTCACCACCAGCCCCTGGAAACCATCAGTATGATTTCTGTCCCTACGGTCTTGCATTTTTCAGTAAGTGAAATAATGTAATATGTAGCCTTTTATATGTGTCTTCTTTCACTCAGAATACATGTTTTCAGATGTCATTCATGTCCTTGGGCTTATCACTAGTTCATTACTTTTTATTGCTGTTTCATATTCCAATTGTGTGGATATACCAGTTTGTTTATTCATTCATCAGTTGATGGACATTTGGGGTGTTTCCAGGAGTTTTTGGCTATTGTCAGTAAAGCTGCTAAAAACATTTACATGCAGATATTTGTAACACATAAACATGTCTTTTAATTTCTTTGGGGCAGAGACCCGGGGGTGGGACTGTTGTATTACATGTTAGACCATATTTACCTTTTTAGCATTTTTTTGCTATAGCGTGCATATTCTCTCCGGACAGACAGAAAGAGACAGAGAGACAGTGAGAAATCACTCCCCCCACCCCATAGTAATGGCCATGCTGCAATCCCTTCTCTTCCCTCCTCTCGGGATTTTGGGCATACGTGCACAGGCACCCGGCATGAGATCTGAGACTCAAACCACAGTAGACCATGTGAGAGTACAGTGTCTTAACCACTATACTACCTGCTAGCCCCCATATTTGACTTTTTAAGAAATTGCTAAACTGGGAACAGCAGTTAGCATAATGGCTATGTTGCTGGATTCCCATGTAGTCGACTGCAGTTCAAGTCCCGGACCCAGTGGCTTAAACTGATGCCAGGCGTGTGTGCGCGCATGCCCAAGATTCCAAGAGGAGAATGGAGGAGAAGTGATTGCAGTGTGGCCATCCCCCCTGGGGGGGGGGGATTTCTCACTTTCTGGTGAGCGCACACGCCTTTCTGGTGAGCGCACACGCCCTGTAACAAAAACCTCTCCAAAAAAGGAAGGAAGGAAGGAAGGAAAGAAAGAAGCTGATAGACTGTTCCTAAAGTGTCTATATCATTTTGCATCCCCACTAGCAGAGTATGAGGGTTGCAGTTGTGCCACATCTTTGCCTTCTCCTTATATTAAATTAAAAATTTTTTTAATCTTTCTGGTAGGTATCTAATGTATCTCATTGTGGTTTTAATAATAGCTGGTGATTCTGAGTGTCTGTTCATAAGCATGTATCTTTTTGTCTTTTTTGGTCTCTGTTGTGCCATCTTGACTAGAAGCCAGTAACAGTCTTAAATCTTTTTGTTGGGACATAGGAACCAATCAAACATCAGGCATTATATATCAGGTCTCTAGTCTAAAACATTTTCCTACCTTTTTTTAGTCTTTCATGACATTTGGTACTTTTGGAGACTCTAAACCTATTGTCTTATAAATTGCCCTTCAGTCTGTATTTGTCTGTTTTCTCATGATTAGATTCAGGTTAAATATTTTGGGGAAGAATACTACATAGACAATTATCTTTCCTCCCTCATGACTTCAAGTGGTCATGATAGTGCTGTTTGATCATTGTTTGATTACAGTGGTATCTTGCAGATCTTTCTATTGTAAAGTGATTTTTTTCTCTTGGAAATTAATAAATAATCTGCAGGGTGATAATTCTTGTCTGAGTCAGTTATTGCATCAGTTGTCACACAATGACACTTTGTTATCTTTTCCTCTATTTTTATTAGCTGACATTATTTTAGTAAAGAAAACTTCCCCCCTCTTTTCTTCTTGAGTATCATAGTGAATGCACGCTGGTTCTTCTTTAATTATGTATATTTCTTTTCATGCCTAAACTGTCCTGACTTGGCCAAAGTTATCTCTGTTATTGCTTAACTATACAATATGTATACATTAAACTAAGCTACCTTTTTTTTTAATTGCCAGAAGGTATATCCACTCACCAGAGAGATAGAGAGAGACAGAAACACTTTCCCAGTGAGGTGTGATCATGGTGCAACACCTTCTCTTCCACTTCTCTATCCTATCAAGATTTAGGGGCACGCATGCACATGCACCCAGGACTGAGATTCAAACCGTAATACCACATGTTATTCAGCCCCTGTCCCGACCCCCAGGACAGTCGAACAGGTTCCCTGGGGGAGGGAGTGAGAGATGGGACAAACACATGCACACACGATATGAGGTGCTAATCAAGTCTTCTTCTTACGTCTTCCTCTGTTTATTGAGGAAAAATGGTGAGTTATAAACAGCTGGTGGGCACCAATTGGTTGCCCGAAATGCAAATGAGATAGAACAGCATGAACCAATCATTGATGTGGGTGGATCTCTCCCATTGCCTAGAAACCCACCCACTTCCGGGGAGGACAGTTGGTCACATGATTTCTGAGAAAGGGTTTGCTCAGTGAGGAATTGAAGCCTAATGGTTTCCAAGATGGTGAATAGCTCAAGATGGCGGATAGCTCAAGATGGCTTCCGTATGCAGTGCCCTCCACATGTCCCCCTTTTTTATTTTTCAAAGAGAGGAGAAAAACCTGGGGGAATCGTGCCTGTCTTAGGTTGGAGTCATTTTTAGAGCCACATGTCCATCCTTACCCATCACTGGAGAATCCCATAGCTATGATGGGTTTCCTGTCTTAGGTGGGAGGACTGTACAGCTGTTACAGGCTCTGACTCTCTTACCCGTCTTTGGCTGACCGATTCAGCGCCTCAGGCAGGAGCAATGTCTAGGCTCCGCGATACTCCATCTCCAGGCTGTGGTAGTGGACTTGGATAGGCTGCATTTTTATGGAATTAATCTGTTGTTTAAGGAAAACCATGAGCTTATTAAAGAGAACAGGCCCCAAAGAGCAAACAATCAGTAAACCCAGAATCAGACCAAATATGGGGAGGAAAACGGGGAGGAGTCCATTCCATTCAGAACGATGCTGGACTTGTTGGCGTAAAAGCAGCAGCGTTTCTGTAAAGCAAGACAGAGATCCCCCTGTTCTGTCAGGAGTAGCACAGGATCAAAACCAGCAGCAGTAGTGTCAAAGAAGCAAAACAGAATCAGGTATCCTTATTTTGTTGATCTGTGGAAGGAGAGAGAGAGATCTCAGGTCTTTCATTGTACCTGGATGGCTTGTTAGAATCAATCTGTTTGATTAATCTTTCTGGTAGCCAACGAGCAGCATCCATTTTTTGAGAATAGATGCAGACAGACCCTCTGCCCCAAATGAGGACAGGGTCCGAACCATTCCATGTATTGTCCAGAGGATCTTTCCACAAAACTGGCAAATTTTGTTTTGGTAGTTGAATGCTAGAAGCGCTCAGCAGCTGAGTCTCCATCTTTATCAAGAGACAGGAAATTTAGGACAAAAAGAGCATGTGCCAGAAGGTTTTTTGGCGAGCCCTTAGTCTGTAAAAGCTCTCCCTTTTTTAGCTTTTGGAGGATATTTTTCAAAGAAAGACGAGCACATTTAACAATGCCTTGTCCCTGGGGATTGTATGGAATTCCCATAACATGTTTAATGTGAAGTTGTTTATAAAAAGAGGCAAAATTGTTTCCTGTGTAACCTGGGCCATTATCTGTCTTAATTTGTTGAGGTTTACCCATAACCGAGAGTGCGGCAAGTACATGGGAAATAACATGTTTGCCGACCTCACCAGTTTGTGCCGTGGCAAAAATGAAACCGCTAAAGGTATCAACAGAAACGTGAACATGAAACAAAATCATGGGTAGGTAAAAAATATAAAAATTTATCTGAAGGAAAATGGTTATCAGTAGTTTTAGCAAAGGAAGCACATGCAATAGGCCAGAAATCTGTTTGTTGGAATAGCCAATTAACTTGATCTTTAGTATATGGCTGGATGATTGTATCAGGATCTTTGCCATATGTCCAGGCTGACCATAATTGAAGCAATTGCCTCCATTATTAAGGTTAAGGAATTGGCGAACAGTATATCCTTTAAGAGCAGCGGCCAGAGCCAATCCCTGTTGATATGCTGACCCAATATCAGAACATAGGCAAATATATCCTGATAAATCTTTTTTCTATATGGCCTGGTTGCTGCTTGACAAGCAGCATTAGCATTTTCATATGCCAATTGTTTAACAAAATTGGTACCTGCATCAGCACTGCCAAATATTTTCCCTGCTGCAGGAATTAACCAATGAAAGTTCTTCATTACTAACTGGCACTAAGGGCTGAGATGCATCCTCATGGTGGATTGAAGAAGTTCCCACCACACCAGCAGGCTGTATTGTGGTAAGCTCTAGACCCACAGGTTTAAGGACATTCGGCAAGACTGAATAATGATCTTGACTGTGACCTGGTGGTATAACTGTGGGTTTATTATTCTGTGGAGACTGAGATGAGGCCTGCTTCTGTTTTCCGCCAGCTTTTCTTGTTTGCTCTGCACTGGAGCCTTCCTCGGGAGCTCTTCACTGGATCCCTCGTACTCAGGTCCATGTTCAGGCGCCATGTGTCCCGGCCCACAGGACAGTCGAACAGCTTCCCTCGGAGAACTGTCTTGTGCTGTGGTCATCTATGATGGTAGCAAGAACACAAGTACACTGAAGAGATGGAGAGGGGAAGCCTGGTGCTCCCTCCACGTGAGGGAAGGTGGTCTGGGGTGTGTTAACTGAGAGGGCCCTGCAGATCTAGAGAGGCTGGCTGAGTAGGGACTTGGAATATATCACATATCCTTTCCTTAGTGAGATAACATTTTCACCTCTACCTCTGCATAAAACTCAGTATCCCATGGTGCCTAACACAAAAGTTAAACATGTGGCACTGGGGCTGCTAACTCCAAAAACCACTACGGAGGTTGAATATTCTCCAGTCCAACAGAAAAACCTTATTCAGCCTCTAATTGCCACTGCGCAGGTTGAATTATCTCCAACCCAGTCTAATCCTCTTTCCCAGCCTCCAGAACCCCATATAAAGTTTGAATCTTTCCAGCCCATCAAAGGGCCAGAGCTCAGACTCCAGATACCTTTAAGAAGGTAGAACCTTCTCCAGACCAGTTGGTAGAGTCTTTGTCGGCCTATCAAGAGGCCCCTCCTCAGCTTCTAAAGCCCCCTAATGAGCTAAAACCCTCTTCAGTCAAGCAGGCGGACCCTGTTCAGTTTCCAGAGTTCCTTTTGATGGTAGAACCTTCTTTGGCTCAGCAGAGGGCGCCATCTCTACCTCCAGAGCTTCTAGAGGAGAAGGAACCACTTCCAACCCAGCAGGAGGTCCCAGCTCCTCCTCCAATGCCACTTAATAAGGTGGAACCTGCTACAGTCAAGCAAATGGTCCCAACTCAACTTTCAGAGCCATGTAAGTTGGTTGCAGCTGAAAGTCCAGCATCTTATGAGATGATAGTTCCAACATCAGGTCATCAAACTCAATCTCCAACACTGCCCAGCGTTGGATTCCAGCCTTTGGATCTGATGCTTACTATAACTCAAGAACCCACTGTAAGGGTTGAACATTCTACAACCTTGAAGACTACAACTCGACATCCAGACCAGGTATCCAAACCTAAATGAAGTCACAGTTCAACCTGTGGATGTGGAAATCACAGTAATTTCACAACCTACTACAGAGGATGAACTTGCTCAAACCATGCAGGAGACCCCCAACTCAAACTCCTATAGAACTTTTTGTAGCTCGACACCCAGTATATCAGGAAGTTTCAGTTCCAACGACACCAAGTCAGGATCAGTCTCAGTATCCAACATCACCCGGTGTCACACCTGAACATTTGGACCTGGGACTTACAGTTACTCCAGAACTCAATATGGAGGCTGAACATTCTACAGGGCTGAAGGAAACTACGGCTCCTCCAAAGTACCCTGAGGTGGCACTTCCACATTCAGGTGGGGTTCAGGTTCAGAATCCAAACCTCACTGAAGTCACCATAACTTCACAACCTACTACAGAGGATGAACTTTCTCCAGCCAAGCACGAGACCCCAACTCACCCTCCAAAGCCTCCAGAAGTTATTGTAACTCAACTCCCAGAAAATCAGGATATCTCAGCTCCAACAACACCAAGTCAGGACCAATCTCAGTATCTAACGTCACCCAGTGTCACAACTGCACATTTGGACCTGGGACTTACCATAAGTCCAGAATCCAGTACAGAGCTTAAACCTCCTCCAGTCATGCAATGTTGTGGAAAACCAGACGGCAGGGGAGCAAAAAGGCAGCACTCCGGAGAGACAGGTGTAACTCTAATACGCCAGTGGGCACGGAGGAGTTAACATTCAAAGTCTCCAGCCCCGCTTGGGGGTCTAGCACAGTCTTTTATCTGGAAGTTGGGAAGGGGCGGTTTCCAGCGGGCTAAGTTGTAACCTATTAGGAAGAAGCAGCCCATCAGGGTAATGTAGCCCAGAGTTCGTTCTCAGGAAAAACGGGTCAGATAAGCAGGGTGTTCAGCTTCTCAAGGTCTTGGATTGTTTTATCACTTCAGAGGGGAAGAGGTGGGGGCAGAGAATTCAGAGAGGCACAGAGTCCTGGATTGGCAACAGTTAGCCTTAGGTTACTCTGAGTTCCGAGCCCAGGCACATCAGCAAGACACCCTAACTCAGCCTTCAGAGCCATCTAAGGAGTCTGAATCTCAGCCTCCAGTATATTATGAAACAATAATCCCAACATCAGCTTAAGATCAATCGCAGCATTCAGCATCTTCCATCATCATAGTTCAACCTTCTGACCTAGCACTTACTATAACTCCAGAATCTACTCTGGAAGTTAAACATCCTCCAACCATGAAGAAACTTGTAGCTACATATCTAGACCAGGTTCATACTCAGCCTCCAAACCTACCTCAAGTCACAGTTCAAACTTTGGAACTGGAGCCTACCATAATTTCAGAATCTATTGCACAGGTTAAACCTTCTCCAACCATTCAGAACAATGCAAATCAGCCTCAAGAGTCATCTAAGGAGACTGTATCTCAATCTCCAGTATATTATGAAATAGTCCCAACATCAGCTCAAGAGCAAGCTCAGCATCCAGTGTCGTCCAGTGCCACAGTTCAACCTTTGGACCTAGGGGTTACCATAACTGCAGAGATTAAACACCCTACAACCCTGCTAAAGACTGTAGTTCCGTATCTACACCAGGTTCAGACTCAGCGTCTAACTCTACCTCAAGACACACCTCAACCTTTGAATCTGGAAATTACCATAAATCAGCTACCACAGTCTTCTGAGTCAGTCTGTTTTCAGAAACTCTGATGATGACTTCTAGAATGGATTTAAATGTGCAACCAGAACTGATCACCACTGTGAATGGCAACCTGTGTGATCTCTGTAGCTGCATAGATGAGACATTGTCATGTGTGGGTCTCAACTCAAAGCAGAAGCTCCAGCAAGTGCCTGTGCCAGACCCCAGCATTCACAATGACACCTTCACCGTCTTGTAAGTATCAGTTTTCCTCATTTGTTCTCATCCTGCCTGACCTGGCAGCAATTTCCTCTATGTCTTCCTGGCCCTTCCTCATCTTCCCAACCTATGTTGACTGACTTTCCGTTTTTACCTTTTGCTTGTCAACTTCTTTATCTTCATGCTCATTACCACTGTGCCCCTTCTCTAGTCTATTTCCTGTGATTGCCCTTAGTCTTCCTGCATTTTTATTTAGCCCCATGATATTGTTGCTTAACGACCTCTGTTCTTCTCCCATTTTAGCTTTACAGCAGCTTCTCCCTCTCCCCATCTCATTAGTGATAATACCACAAAGGAGTTAAGAGTGCATTCTGGACTCAGATTGCCTCCAGGAGTTGCAACCCATGCATGTCATTTATTAGTTTTGTGACTTTTGGGCAAGTTATTTAGCTCTCAATTTTCTTATCAATAAAATGGGGATTATGGTAGTTACCATTCCATAGGATTGTTGTGACCTTTAAAGAATGAATATATGTAATTCGTATATCCCCGTCTGCTTACACATGAATGTTAGCTATCAATATTGTTATTATTCAGTCCCTCAGTTATATCCAGAACTCATCTTTGTCCCTGGTGTTTTATATATAGCACCCACTTTGTGTCCAGAGACAAGTATTGAGAGCCACAGAATTATGACACTGTCTCTAGAACATGAAGATGATAGGGGTGAAAAGGAGAGTAAGCATAAAAAGGGGAGAGGGGTGATACATAATTAAGTAAAAAGTGATATAGACTACGGGCGCTGTAACTCCTCAGACTCTGTAAGGACTGCAATGTGGTGGTCAGGGAAAGCCTGATAAGCTAAAACTTTGCCAGGGCTTTCAAGAGTGCCTTTGGGCCAGCAGGTGGTATGGTGGTTAAGGTGCTAGACTCCTACATTGCCAGCCACGGTTTGAGTCCCAGACTTGATGACTGGAAAATTATACTTGGTACGTGTGTGGGCCCAAAATCCCTGGAGGAGAAAGGAGAAGAATTGCAACATGGCCATACGTCCTGAGAGGTGATTTCTCACTTACCCTCTCACCGTCTCTTTCTTTCTTTTTTTTTTCTTTTTTTTTTTAAATGGGAGCTTTTTTCTTTATTATTACTATTAATATTATTTATACATTAAATAGCTATACATCATTTAGATTTTAAAGAGACTTTATCCAGCATGATATATAGCTCAGTCCAGTCCAGTTGAGACAACCATACACATCCTCACCAACAGATAATAAACTATATTCACAAATGGGAGCTTTGTAATTGAAAGTGTCTGCATGCTAAAAATTCAGATTGAACTATTGTACATGCAAGTAGGTTTAAGTATAAGTTCACAAATTAGTTGATAGATAGTTGTCTCAACAGGTTTCATATTGCATTATATATTTATTATTATAACCATTATTCATTGTATAAAACTAGGTAACAGAGAAAAAGTCCAAAACATTATAAGTAGTTGCCTTTCTTCAGAATTAATTTTTTTTCAAACTATGTATTTAATAAAGGGCTTAAGTCATAGTATAGTTTTTATTTTTCCTTGAGCCAATAGTGATAAATTATTATTAACTAAAGTCCATAGTTTACATTATGGTTCACTCTCTATGTTGTACAATTTGCCAAATGCATAAGTCATGTATGCATTATAGTATCATAAAGAATAATTTCACTTCCCTGGCTTTAGGTGAGATAGTTCCAATAGTATTTTTTTTTTTTATCAAAATCCCAATGATAATTTTTTTTTTTCCTTTCAATTATCAGCTCATAAAGTTTTTAACAATAGGGAACATAGATTCTATTCAGGGTTGGATTAAGGGTGGGTCTCGTGCAGTTCCGCAATTGTAGGTGAGTCTCCATGGAATACAGTTTCAGGAAAGCGGTTCTGGTAAGCAGAGATGATTATCAGTTGATGAGGCACAGCAGCCATCTTGTGATTAGCGGGAATGGTGTTGTGGGGATCTGCAGCGTGAGTTATCCTCGGGTATCTGGCTTCCTTGAGAACGGTAGAGTAGTTCTTGTTCTTCCTTGAGGTAATGCAGGGCTGGTAACCATCATCTTCTCACTGTCCATAGGTAGAGAAAATCCTCCTATACAATATATTTCTCAATTAGTTTAAGACAGCTAAAGTTTCTTTCTGTTGCTTATAGTTGCAAGTTCTTAATCCTTGTTTTCTGCTTCAATTTGCCGCCTGCGGCCGGCAGTCACGTGCAGGCCCGGGGCCACGCACAGGCCCGGCGGCCACACGCCAGCCCCGAGCGTGAAAATGTGCGCGGGACCCAGTGCCACCTCCTGTTCGCCCGCCTGGCCAGAGAAAGGAAGGACGGCCACCTCAGCTGGTCCGAGCCACCGGCCTGCGTCGGCGCGCGGGGGACACACCCAACGCCAGAGAGGCAGCGGGGGCCGGGCGGCCCAGGCCGCTTAACGCGAAGCAGGGCCCGGCCGCTCAAGGCGAAGCAGGCCCCAGCCGAGCAGGCCCCGGTGGCCCCACCGTCTCTTTCTTTCTTTCTCCAGCAAACACATGTGCCCTATGTCAAAGTCCTAAAATAAAAAAAAAGAATGCCTATCATTTGTTAAATTAAAATTTGGGGAGAAAAGCCTAGGCAAAGGTATGGCCACGGGAATAATCAGGATTAGGTAGATCAGTATGGCTCCAAATAATTAAGTTGGTGAACAATATAAGATATGATTATGAAAACCTTGAATATCAGCTACAGAGGTTTGAAGTTACACAGTGAGCACCTAGCCAAAGTTTTGGAGTTACCTAGCACAGAGGTTTTCATTTTGGATAATAATAAAATTCTGCCCATTTTTCTGTTGAATTACTGATAATTTTCTTATTGGTTTGTAGAGTAGGCAATTTAGACACATAATGATCTGGGAGAAAATTAGGTTCATTCTAAGTTCATTCTTGGAGAGATAATACATTTATTTTCTGGGGAGATAGCTAGCTCATCATTCGTGACAGTGGCTCCACATTACTTCTTTTTTCATTTACTTTTTGTTGTTGTTATTATTTTTTAATTTGATCAGAGAGACAGAAAGGGAAAGTGAGAAAGGAAGCCACCAGGTCTGGGACTTAAATCATGGTTGGTCATCTGGGAGGCCAGCACTTTAACCACTGTGCCACCTGCCAGTTCCCCACATTATTACTTTATGAATGATCTAAACTGGGAAGCTGAGAGCTCTGGAAATTAGAAAGCTAGTATTATTTTCTGTATTTGACTGTCTCCCACAAGATTATCATGATTCTTTATTCTATTCATTCTTTTCCTACCTATTTAAGAATAGTAATTGTGTTTCTTCACAGAAATTTCCAAGGAAACTATTTCCAACATTGACGAAAATGTATGGAAATCATACCACTGAACTGAAAAACTGTAAGTATATTCTCATAGAAAAAAATATTGCATTGTAAGAACCATCTTTGTCCAGAATTTTGAGTGTGTGTGTGTCTGTGTGTGTGTATGTGTGTGTGTATTTTTTTTTTTAAGAGAAGAGACCTTCTTTTTCATTTTATTTTATTATTGTTATTTTTTGCATTGACCAAAGAGATAAAGCCTCCTGGTCCAGGACTTAAACCATGGTTGACCATGTGGGAGTCCAGTGTCTTAACCACCATGCCAACTGACGGCCCCTTGAAGTCAATATTTGTAAGAAATAGTGTTTACCCATTTGTATCAACTCCCTTCATATTCCACATCAGCCTTTATTGATTACGATTCTGTGATTATTTTTAAAATTAAATTTGGTGGGGAACCAGCAGTTAGCGTAATGGCTATATCACTGGGCTCCCACGTAGTCGACCGCGGTTCATGTCCCAGACCCGGTGGCTTAAAACTCACGCCAGGTGCGTGTGCATGCGTGCCCAAGATCCCAAGAGGAGAATGGAGGAGAAGGGATTGTGGCATGACCATTCCCCCTGGGGGGTGATTTCTCGCTTTCTGTCTCTGTGTCTCTGTCTGTCTGGCGAGCGCACACTCCCTATAGCGAAAACCTCTCAAAAAAAAATTAAATTTGGTGGACCCTTTTAAAAGTAACAGGCAATTTACATTTACTTTATATTATACAGCAATATATGAGTATGTTCTTCATTTGTAAAAATGAAATAGGGCAGCCAGTGGTGATAGTGGTCAAGGCATCTCAAATGTCCAACTGTGCAGGTAGGGCCCCAGACCCAGTAGTTTGAAAATCACACTGAGCACGTGTGCATGTGTTCCCCAAATCCCCCAGAGAATGGGGAAGTGCAGCATAGACAGTTTCTCTGCTTGTTTTGTTTTGTTTTGTTTTGTTTTGGCTGTATCTTTCTGGTAATCTGCAGAAACATATCTTATTGGAATAGTTTTTTTTTTTCAGAGAGATATTTTTGCTGTAGGGTGCATGCAGAGACAGATTCAGACATAAAGTGAGAAATCACCCCCCAGGGGGATGGCCACATGCATTCCCTTCTCCTCCTTTCTCCTACTGGGATTTTGGGAATGCATGTACAAGTACCCGGTGTGAGTTCTACTGCCAAGTCCGGGACTTAAATCGCTGTTGACTACGTGGGAGTCCAGTGACTTAACCATCATGCCATCTGCTGGTCCCCGTTTTTTTTAAGAGAGATTTTTGCGGGATCAGCAGATGGTGTAATGTTTATGTCACTGGACTCCCATGGAGTGAGCCATGGTTTGAGTCCCAGATCCATGACTCAGAACTCACGCCAGGCATGTGTGTGTGTGTGCATGCCCAACATCCCAAGAGGAGAATGGAGGACAAGGGATTTTGGAGTGGCTGTCCCTCCTAGAGGTGATTTTTTTGCTTTCTGTCTCTGTCTGTCTCTCCAGTGAGCACATGTGTCTTTCAGCAAAAAAATCTTTTTTTTTTTTTCCCTAAAGAAAAAAAAAAGAAATAAAAATAGAATGTAGGTATGATAAATATTGTAATTTCAAAGTAGTGATGAGAATAAATATATTTTGTGGTAGTACAACAAAAATATGATATGAATATATCTATGATGCCTGTTCTCTAATATTTGCTAAACCAAAAAATATTTTTGATTTGTTGCCTAAATTTTTATAAAAATAGAGATGTAATTTTATTGTTTTCCCAACCAAGTTTGTCCACCTGATTTCAATTTATTCTTTGCATAGACCTTTGTTTTAAAAGGGTGATCCACAAATGGAAATTCATACACTTTTTTTAAACTTGCTAGAGAGTGCATGTGCTTATCAGAGAGAGACAGAGGGAGAGTGGGAAAGCACCCCTCAACGGGACATGGTCATTCCACAATCCCTTCTCCTTCATTTGTCTATGATATTAGAATTTGGGGCACACATGCACATGCACCAGGGATATTTTTCAAGTCACCAGAGCTGGGTTTCACACCATGTAGTCAACCATGGGGGATATGGGTCCCTTAAAGACCCAGCCACAGGGACCTGCATACATATTTTTTATGTATTTGGTCACGCCTCAATCCCTTCTCCTCCATTCTGCTCTCGGGATCTTGGGCATGCACACACACGTGCCCAGCGTGAGTTTTAAGCCACCAGGTCCGGGACGTGAACCATAGTCGACTACGTGGGAGTCCAGCGACATAGCCATTACACTAACTGCTGGTTCCCCCAGGTATGTTTTTCAAGTCACCAGAGCTGGGTATTGTACCATGTGGTCAGCCATGGGGGATATGGGTCCCTTAATAACCCAGCCATAGGACCCTGCATACACATTTTTTGTGTATTCAAAAAGTGCTGTTTTGAGAGGAAAGAGTCCATTGCATTTATGAGATTCTTAAAGGGTAGTGGGGAGAAGAAAGACATTCCTTTTTTTTTTTTTTTTTTAAGATTTTTTTTCTGGGGGGCTT